GAGTACCCCAAAACCTTAGTGTGTGACTGACGAGGCTGACGATCGCTTCCCCAGCTGGTCCTGAGGCAGCCCATGCCGAGGGAGAGAATCAGATGTGGCTCAAACCAAAGTCACCGTTGACTAGGCCTGGCACTATGTGATGTGTGACAGCTCTAGTTACACTGGCCCAGGGGACCATGGAGATGGGTCTCTGCAGGCCTGGGAGAATCACAGGCCCATGGACCGATACCGTGGATGAGGCAAGGGAAGCCGGGGTGGGGAAGCACGGGGTGTGGGCCAGGGTGCCACAGCCCGGAGGGGCAGCTCAAAGTGGCCAGAGGAAATGCTGTTTGGCTCCCACAGGGTGCTGAGAAACCAGAGTCAAGCACTGGCAAGGTTCACCCCAGGGAGACAGGGTCACCTCTGAGGGCCTCGTGGAGAGGACGTGTTTGAACCCCAGTTGCCAGTGCCGGCAAAGTTGACAGCCAGGCTTTGTGCCAGCAGCCATGAGGCAGCCGGGGAAGCACAGGGCAGCTCCTGCCCACCTGGACAACCACTCCCAAGGGAGGTCTGTGGGAAAGGCAGGTGGCAGATGGACACGTCAAAGGCAAGGCTCGCTCCCCACACCTGCTGAGTCTGGGCCCTCACCAGCCGAGAGCAGCGGCCCTGCCCCGCAGTGCCGTCCTCCTCTGTGACCAGCCCTCCTCTGGACAGCTGTGCCGAGGGTGTCTCTAACACATACGGCAACAGTCCTGCACCACGCAGGCAACTCCGCAGAGGACTGAGAGGGCTAGAGGCGCTTCCCAACAGGGCTGATGATGCAGCCGGAGAGCTGGGGAGTCAACCAGCTCATTCTGGGGCAGGGTGGGGGCCAGACTGACCAGTACAGGGCTGGGTTTGTGGCCAGGGTCGGGGCCTCATGCTCCAGGAAGGCAGATGGCATCAGGAAGGAGGCATCCACGAAGGCTGGGGCGCAGTGGTGGTGCTCAGGCCTTGGAAGATGGAGACAGGCGAGCACCAGTCCAGAAGGAACACAGGGCCACATAAGATAAGTGAGGTTTGCCGGGACCTCCTGTGCACTAGCCCTGGCCGAGGCATGTCCCGTATTTCCTCGTGATGGCGGGAGCCCTACTTTGTAGAGCAGGAAGCGGAGGCTCCAAGGATCACAGAGCAGACAGAGGCACGTGGGGCATGGCTCCACTCACAGGAAACATCCAGAACAGGCAAAGCCACAGGCAGATCGCAGACTAGAGCTGCCAGGACTAGGGGAGCTGAGGGTGGGGTGACTGCCTAGGGCTGGGGCTCCCTTTTGGGAGACAGAAACGCTCTGAAATTGAGACGGTGGCAGTGGCTGCGCGGCACTGGGAATGAACTAGCATCACCAAGTTGAAGACTTTAAAAGGGTGAAATGACAAACTTTGATATATGACTACTATGCCAATAAAGAAAGAAAATAATAAGGCTCTGGCACTCACCAAAGACCCCAGAGCTGGGAAAGACAGGGCTGGGCGGGTTTGTTCAAGCTCAGTCCCAAGGGAGCTGTCCCCTCTTAACCTCAGCCTTCCCACGACTGTCAGGATCTGCAAGGACCTCTCTAGCCCTTTGCCTCAGACCGCAGTGCTGCACGACCCAGCCCACATGCAGGCAGGGCCTGCAGGATGCCAGACTGCACAACCCACAGATGACACCACGTGCCTAGACACCTCCCCGGGCCCAGAGGAGAAGCCACAACCCGGCATGGGGCTGGTGTAGAGAAGAGGCAGTGTGTGCTGGCTTCTGCTGGCTTTTGTTCTTAATACACTTTAGGGACCCTGTTTCAAAGTCAAAGATGAGGTATGCTATTAGAGAAATGCCCCTCAGAGCCACCTGGGTCAGAGAAGGAGGTCTCACAAAACACTCTCACGCTGCCCTAGACCCCTCCCTGCCCCCCGACGCCTCCCATCCGTCCACACGCGGCTCCACCCTCTCAGGTGCAGAGCCCGGCATGGGGGAGGGAGTTCAAGTGGCACAGTGGGGACTGACCGAGGACAAGAACATTGAGAGTGCCCTCAAGTGCCCCCTCCCCAGCCTCCCTGCACCCGCCCCCTGAGGCTGGGCCGGGCAGTCTTCTTCAGGGTAACAATCCAGGCCCACATCTCCTGCCAAGGCAAGGGCAAAGGGACTCCTGTTCACAGGAAATAAAGGCTCATCCTTGATGAGCATGGAGAGGAGTAAAGCACAGGCAGTGGTGGAGAGGCCACTTGGGGCTGCAGGCACGTCCCAGGAGGGCCCTGGCAGGCTTGCAGGCATGCCAACATGGGGCCCTGGGGGCCTGACTCACCCTCCAACCCGAAGCAGAGCATGTGCCTGGGGCACATCCGGGACACACAGCAGGGGCCAGAGGCCTTGGACATAGGCTGGGACCGCAGGAGGTAGAAGAGGATATGAAGCCATCCCACCACCTCCCCCCGGGAGCACCTCCTCTTCTTCCACACCAGCGAGGTCACCCCCGTCGGTGTCACTGTCCATCAGCCACTCACTGCCTGGCAGGCTGCAACGAGCCCTCCTGCGGCCCAGGCCTTCTGCAGAGGAGAGGACCACGGGCTGTGCCACCTCCTCCATCATCCCGTTCATTACCCAGGGCCCAGCACAGCCACCGGCTCACTCAGCACCCCCAGCCCTGGCAGCACCAGGAAACCCACCCGATCCCTGTGAGGAGGGCAGGAGGTCTTCTTCATGTCAAAGCCAGAGACAAGCAGCCCAGAGCCCACGACAGCAGTGCTCTGTGTCACCCCAGTCCCAGGCCCTGCCAGGCCGCCCACAATACGGGCTAACCCCACTGCGGGGGCGACTGAGCCACTGCAGCAGCTGCCAGAGAGGGGAGCACCTGTCCTCGGACACAGAGCAAGGGGGAGGCCCTGGGGCCAGCTATCCCACTGACGGCCAGAGAGGGGCTCCCCCACGGCCCCCAACTGTGCCAAGAGGAAGGGCTGTCCCGTAAAGACTCTCCTCAAGCTGAAACAGTCAAGACCCAGCAAGCTCCTGCAGCAAGGCCGGCTGGCTCGGTGCTGGGACTGCCACTGCCTACTACCTCATCCCGGGGCTGGGCAGGAGGCTGCAGCACCCATGACCAGAGATGCCTGCTGAGGTCTGCCTGTCCAGGTGGGGCTGGGAACACTTGCTCAGATCTCTTCCAGACACTGTCAGCTCCACCACAGCCAGCACTGCTGTCCTCACCACACACTCGCTCGGGTGTGGGGGCGGATCCCAGTCAGTGTCTTGAGGGGAAACTTGGCCCGCTGCAGCCCCGTGCTCTCGGGACCCATCTGGTCTCAGGCAGGGCCTATCCATAACCAGGCAGCTTCCACAGCAGGATGGAGGCCTCATCGCCCACAGCTGGAATCCAGCGTGGGAACCAGGCTGCCGCCCTCCTCTTCCAGCTCTCCTGCAGCACGGCCTCATGCAGCAATCAAGAGGCCTCAGCGCACACGCCGTGCCTACGCCCAGCACCTGTCCCAGCACCTGTCTGGACCCACCACAGGAGCTCAGCACGCCGTGCCTACACCCACCACCTGTCCCAGTACCTGTCTGGGCAACTGTCCGAGCATCTGTCCCAGCACCTGTCCGGGCAACTGTCCCAGCACCTGTCTGGGCAACTGTCCGGGCATCTGTCCCAGCACCTGTCCGGGCCCACCACAGGAGCTCAGCACGCCGTGCCTACGCCCAGCACCTGTCCCAGTACCGGTCCGGGCCCACCACAGGAGCTCAGCACACCGTGCCTACGCCCAGCACCTGTCCCAGCACCTGTCTGGGCAACTGTCTGAGCATCTGTCCCAGCACCTGTCTGGGCCCACCACAGGAGCTCAGCACACCATGCCTACGTCCAGCACCTGTCCCAGTACCTGTCTGGGCCCACCACAGCAGGAGCTCAGATGCCCTGCCTATGCCCAGCACCTGTCTGGGCCCACAACGGCAGGAGCTGAGACGCTGGGCCTACACTGACCTCTGTGGACCTCCCTCACCCATCAGACACCAACAGAGCAATGCTCTCCCTGGGAAAAGGGGCTCTGCCGGAGCCTCAGCCTCGGGGTCCACAGAAGGCCTGCTGCAGCTCTGAGCAGACACTGCCTCCCAGGTCTCAACCTGCTCACCCTGACACCACGGGGCGGCACCAGCCTGTAGGAAGGCCTCTTCCGGGTGTTAAAAACAGTAACAGAGCAGCATGTTTCAAACCACGGTGCTGAAACCCAGGTCAGAAAACCAGTTTAGTAAGTTGCAGCTAGCTTTTTCTCTCCTGAGTAGCACAGGGCGCAGCAGGAGGAACACGGGCACGCGTGGCCATGGGGAGCGTCAGCACAGCTAGAAACCCCTGATTCTCAGCGTGTGTGTCTACCCCAGGCAGCAACAGCAAATGCCCTTCTCACCACGGCCGTGGTGCCAGCATGTGACTGGGTGACAGTGACAGAAGAACTCTGTCCTGCCCGTCTGCGAGCTCGGCTCCACTCTAGGATGGGGTGAGGGAGAGGCCAAGTCAACCACCAAGCAGGCAGACAAAATTTACTAATGCTCCCTTTACATGTAATATATATTGGTTGAACGCACAGATGGGTGGGTGGATAGACGAGTGAAGAGTGCATGGGGCAAAGGATGAATGAACAAGAACACTCCAGATGAGACAGTGGTGACGGGGAGGGTGGGGGGAAGAGGAGGAGGGGAGGGGAGGAGGAGGGGAGGGGAGGAGGAGGGGAGGGGAGGAAAAGAGGAAAAGAAAGGAGGGGAGGGGGAGGGAGGAGGGGAGGAGGAGGAGGAGGGAGGAGAGAGGAAGATTGCTGTGGAGGGGAGGATGCAGGGGGTGACACGGCATGGGCCCCACCTTCCTGCTGGACAGGTGGTGCCCGGGGGGAGGAGGAGGAGGAGGAGGAGGAGGAGGAGGAGAGGAAGGTGCTGTGGAGGAGGATGCAGGGTGACACGGCCAAGATGGGCCCCACCTTCCTGCTGGACAGAGTGGTGCCCTAGCGAGGTGAGCTGGGCACGGAACTCACCTCTGGGCGGCTCCAGACCGAAGCCCTCAGAGGGCAGGGCCTGGTAAGAGAAGGTCTTGGCCACCACCTGCTCCACAGGCGTGAGGGCCAGGGCCTGGGGTTTGCCGGAACCGGGGCTGGGGCCATGGGCCGCCTTCCGGAGGTCGCCCAGCTTGCGCCGCACGACGGCTCGCAGGTCCCGCCACTTGTGCTTCAGGTCCACGACGTCACGGCGGCAGTAGCCCAGCGCGTTGACGGCCTGCAGGATGCGGCTCCACACGCGGTACCTGCGAGTGGGCTCGGCTTTCAGCAGCCCCGTGCCGAACAGCAGCTGGTGGTGCTTGCTCACCTTGGACACTAGCACCTCGGTCTCCTGCGGGCAGAAGTTGGGCTTCCTCTTCTTGGCCCGGGTAGCGCTGGGCCCCGCCATGCGGCCATGGGGCCCAGCGGCCAAGTCCTTCCTCAGGCCAGTGGTGGGTGATGAGGTGGGCGATGAGGTGGGCTCCGGCATCCGGCTGCCTTCAGGGGCAACCCCAGGCCCTGGAAAGGCACCAAAAGGTGGACGTTTAAGGCCCTGGGCCTGTGGAGGCAGCGGCTCCAGCAGCAGCTTCCTAGGGCACCTCCTCTTTGGTTTCTGCTTCGGGACATGGCTGCCTGGTCCTGGCCACCACCCCTCCCTGCTGGGTGTCCAGAGACCTGGGCCCACGATCCCCTAGCCCTGACACTGACTCACCAGGTGCCGTCAGCAAGCACGTAGCTTCCGGGTCACAGTGCCCCATCTCCAAGACGGCACACCACTAGCCCTGCCTGCCCCTGCAGCCACCACAGGGCTGTGGGAGTCGGGCAGGCTAGGTTGTAGCCCTGGACCCTCTCCAGGGTCTCCTGCCCTCAGGCCAGGGCTGGGCTGCTCCTGGGGCCAGCCCTTGCTTGGGGACAGCCTTCCAGCTGACATTTTGGAAGGCTCCTGCCAACCTGCCCACAGCACAACTAAGAGCCCCTGAGCACCGGCCTCAGCTTCCCCTCCCGCACTTGGGCCGAGGCTGGTGGGGACGTGGTGGCCTGGTCGGCAGCCTCACCCCCCTGCCATCCTTTGCCTCCACCCTGCAAGGGAACAGGGCTGCGCTGGCAACAGTGGGAAGTCTCTGCGTCTTTGCTCACACACGAGCGTTTTCACTAACCCGACCAGCTTCCTGAAGGCAGGGACAGGGCCCGACACTGCAGGTTCCCTGGTGCGGCATGTCTGAGCCCTCAGGGAGGAGCACTCAAGTGCAGGCCTCTCCCCAGGGGCCTGGCATCCCAGAAGCACCTGGAGGGGGCCTCTCCACCGGGAGGGAAGCCCACCAGGATACCCGAAGAGGTCACCGCATCTGTTCTTCCCCAAACCACACCAAGCGCCCTGCCACCCCTCGCCAGCCCACTGCACAAGAACGGTCGGGCTTGGGGGTGAGGAATCACATGAGCAGGTACAAAGCCCCGGGCGGGAGCAGCCTTGCTCAGTCCTGACCCTACAGGGCTGGCCAGCTCTGGCCACCATGCAACTTCCATCCTGTGGCCTGTCTGGGCTGGCTGCACCCTTGGCCCTACTCAGGGGAAGGCCTGGTGGGGGGCAGGGAACACAAGCCCCTCGCCTCCCGGCCCTAGCCTCCTCCCTGCAGCTCCTGCCTGCTGACCTCGCCCTCCTCCGCACCTGCATCTCCAAGCCGCCTTCCCAGGACCCCCCAGACCCAGCGTCTGAGTGAAGTACCTCGCTTCCTGGCCCTTGGGACAATAGGCGTGCCCGCCGGCCCCAGATCACCTTCCCCGTCCTTCCCCACACAGGGGTTCTGCAGCTTGCTCTCTGGCGATGGGCAGGGGAAATGGCGGATTCCATACTCGGTCCAACATCTAGCGCACTCTACGGACAGCAAGGGACAGTCACGATTACTCTCAGCTCAGGGCGCTCCTGGCAGTGCCAGGCGCGCACGCACGGACAGCAGATGCCCAGGACCCGAGATGCTCCACTCAGGGCTCCTCCTCCAGGAAGCCCTCCCTGCCTGCTATATCCTCTGGATCATCCCCCTTCTGCTGAATGCCAGCAAGGAGTTCAGAACTTTAGGTGTTCCGGATTTTTCTCTGAACCAGTTCTGAAATGTGACTGCAAACTAGCATACAACCCCCAGGGCCTGCAGGGGTAGCCACAGATTAAGCCCTGGACAGCTATTACCAGTCAGCAACAAAGTACAAAATGGGAAGTGCGGCTCCAGCATCGTTTAAGGCAATTCGAAACTGCTGCGACCTCTGCACTCAGAATCATTCTACTGCATTTTATAAAAGTGTCATTCCGTAGCGTATGGGAGATGAAAAGCAAAGCCACACTGCTGTCCCCACTCGGCTTTGCAGAGGCAGAGACACGTGCTCCACCTCTCCCGGCTCCCAGCCCCCACACGTGTTTGGGCCCTACTCAGAACGCATCATCATTTTCTCTAATTCTTTCCATTGTTCACAAAACATTTCAGGACACATTTCACTGAAATTCATTGATCCTCAGACGCACCTTATAAAAGCATTTTAACATCTCTGGAACCATGATGTGCCTTTCGATCCACGGCACCCCAGAGTCAAAGACACGCATGTGCGCCAGGCTGAGTGAGGCCTCCGAAGCCGGACCCCGCGTGCCTGTCTGCAATCTGTTCTTCCCGGGACGTGTCCCAGTAGGTAACAAGGACGCTGCTGGCTCGGAAGCACTTTCCAGCCATGTCTGTGGCCTCCAGGGCCAGGTCGGCACAAGGGATCCCAGGGCTGCATCCCTGAGCCAAGCGCCTGAAGCAGCAGCTCTTGGAAAAGACCCTTCATGCAACCCTCAGAGAAGTGACACTAGGGGCCGCCCTGGTGCACTCCCACTCGGGGTCCCTCTAGGGGGACCCTGTGGCCCAACGTGAGGGGAGGGAAGGACTTCCCCAAAGCCTCTCACCACACCCGTGGGAGGTAGGAGAGGTCCCAAAGGCCACCTGGTCCATTCTCCTGCCCCCAGACAGTGCTGCCCAAACTACACAGGCAGAGACAGACCTATGGCCACACAGACTCAGGGAACGGCCTCCAGTGCCCAGCTCACTGCTCTGGACTAGGGCACACTCACCCTCCAGCTCTGGGACCGGTGGGGGGAAGAGGGAGAAGCCTGCAGAAGGACAGGAGGGCAGCTGCCTGGCTCATTTCAGGGCGGAGGTTTCCACAGAGCAGAGAAGCGCAACAAAGTGAATCAGAGTCAGAAGCTGACAACCCTCTCGGGGGCCAGGGAGGAACAGCCAGTCTGGAGACAGACCCTGCCCTAGGAAAACCAGGCACCCACGAGAGGCACTGGCCAAAGTCTGGAGGGGCCCCAAGTCACAGACGCCTCTCAGTGTTTGATGAGGTGAGCCTCCAGCATGCCCGCCCCCCCACCGCCAAAGAGAGCAGGGCCAGTCCCTCCAGCTCCCGGCAGGCCCCTCTCCCTGGCATCCACACCATCCTCTCTCTGCACAGAGACACACTCTCCAGGCCGGAAATCCCAGACAATGGCCTGTGCGGGGATCCAGGCACTTGGTAACTGAGCTCAGCCTCTGCTCAGAAAGGGGTCCCACAGGCCCCCAGAGAGACCACAGGCCCTGCTGTCACTCAAGAACACGCCATCACCTCACCACACTGAATCCACTTACCCTAAGTCCAGGTCCTACCCACCGCACCCATGTTAATCCACACTGCTCCCCATGCCCCTCAAGGCGCCAGTATGCTCCGCCCACCCGAGCCACATGAATCCAGACATGGCAGGGACAGGCCTGGGGTATTTACTGTATGCTTTTGAATAGAACAATACCCACAAATTACAGAAAAAATATAAATGCAGACAGTTATAAATAAAAAAATAAAGATCACAGCATCCAGAGATAAACATGATGAACCCTGGAGGTGGGCGGCTGTCTTCCACAAGCAAATACTGCGTGTATGGCTTTGCTTCTTCCACGCACCACATTCTCCACAAATCACAGCACATGCACAGGTCACTCGAGGGCCTTCGACAATGTGATGTTAATGCCCACATCGAATTCTAACCCAGCTGTAACACAATCGTTTCCCTAAAGCCAGGTACTTACAGTATTTCTGAGTCAGCACTCACACAAATCATACGTGCTGAACACCTCTGCCTGTGTGTCTATCTCCTAAGACAGAGTCCAAGAGGAAGTACGTCTGGGCTAAGAGAAGGAACACTCCTGGGAGTCCCGAAGCTGGCTGTTCCTGGCATCGCACACCCACCCTCCCCAACAACCCTGTGGCCCCTGCTCCCGCACCAGGCTGCCCCAAAGCTGGCTGCTCCTGGCACCCCACGCCCACCCTCCCCTGCTCCCGCCCCAGGCTGCCCCAAAGCTGGCTGCTCCCGGCACCCCACGCCCACCCTCCCCTGCTCCCGCCCCAGGCTGCCCCAAAGCTGGCTGCTCCCGGCACCCCACGCCCACCCTCCCCTGCTCCCGCCCCAGGCTGCCCCAAAGCTGGCTGCTCCCAGCACCCCACACCCACCCTCCCCGTGGCCCGTGCTCCCACCCCAGGCTGCCAAGGGCGTGCTGACGTTTTCTTTTCCTGCCAGGTTACTGTGAGGCTGACCACTGCTGGTGCGCTGAGGAGACAGCTACACTTCCTAGCTGTCCACAGACCTGGCCGGTTTGCATGGAGCTCTGGGGAGCTTTCTTCTGTGTATTTGAGTTATTTATGGGTTGACAACTCACTAGCTGGCTTTTCGCTGCCTCTGTCCAGATGACGTGACGATGACGCGAGGGCCCTAAGGTGCTGCCCAGTTAGGGTGGCAGGACTGCGGCACACAGCAGGGACTGGGCACATGCAGCTGACCCTACACCCATGGGGACTTCGTCCAGGCCCCACCGGCCTGCCTGGAAGGCCTTGCCCAGCTCTGAGGGTCCTCGAAGGCCCCACCCACACAGAAAGCCAAGAGCTGAGGGGAGCAAAGGAGGCACTGAACCAGGCTTGCCCCCGCACCCCAGAAGCAGCCCCGGCCACGACAGTTTTCAACAAACCCGGACGACCCTGGTGCTCTTCTTTCAGATGTGTAAGCGGGTTTGAAATCACTTTAAAAAGACAACTGGAAAAAAGTACATTTGAAAATGATGAAGTAAACTTCTAAGGAATTCCTAAACAAAGAAATCATAATGGAAAGTTATTTAGAACTGAACAAAAATTTAAAATACTATACATTTCAAAATGTGTGACATTCAACTGAAGTAGTTTCTTGGGAAATTTCTAATTTCAAATGCTTTTGTTAGAAACGAATAGTTACCATATTCATGACGAATGTGGTAAATATTCAATCTGGGAGTCAGAAAAATAAAACAGCATCAACTTAAAGACAGGAGGGAAACGATGAAAGTACAAGCAGAAATAAATCACGATTTGAACTCGCACGCACAGAAGGCGGAAGCCAGGAGCCACGTCTCTGCAGAGACCTGCACAACTGCCGGGTCTCTGCTGATACTGACTGAAAGAGAAAACAGAGAAGGTAAAAATACAGAATATCAGGAATGAGAAAGGGGACGTGGTTGAGGCTCTGAGGCTGTGAAAGAAGCAGCAGCCACCACCAGCCCTCAGCAGCCCTGCCCGAGCTTCACGGGTGTCGATGCATCCATCCGCATGACCACCGGGCCAGAGGCCTCTTCTCGCCTCCCCTTCCCCACCCTGAGCTCACAAAGCTCATGAGCAGCAGGGTGGGCAGGGCTGAGACCAAGGCAGGCAGGGTAGGTAGACAGGGCATGGACCAAGCAGGCAGGGCTGGCACGCTGTGACTGGCAGAGCTAGGACCAGTGCAGGCAGGGCTGGGACCAGGGCAGGCAGGGCGGGCAGAGCTGGGACCAGGGCAGGCCAGCTTCTGCATCTGCATCTTAACCATTACATGAGGGTGCCCCAGTGTCACAACTGATAACAAAAGGCTATTGTGTACAATTTAATTTCAGTAAGTTGAACATTTAGATAAAACAGTAGAATTTCCAGAAAAATGCAACTCAGCAAAACTGACCCAAGAAGAAATAGAGAGCTTGAATAACGTTTTACAACTAGAGGAATTAACTGGCAGTCAGAAAATCTTTCCACAAAGGAAAATACTAGATCCGCATAGTTTAACAGCAAAATCCCAGAAACATTCAAGGAATACATAATCCTGTTCTTCCACAAACTCACCAAGAATAGAACCACCGTCTCCATTCAACACTGCAGTAGAGGTTCCAGCCAGGAAAAGAAACACATAATAGGCGAAAACACTGGAAAAGGAGCGAAAACGCTGTCATTATGCACAAACACCACCATCTACAGGGGAGGCTCAAAAGATTCCACAGACAAATCATTACAATAAAAAGGGTTTAGCAACATGGCTGGACACAAACCAGTACACAAAAGTCAATTACACCACACAGGAAAAGTCTGGTTTCTTCCACAAATAAACCTGGAGGGAAATAAAGAGACAGAGGGAAGCCAGAGACAAAGACACACTCCAAGGAGGAGCATGGGTCAGCCGTAGCACGGGATCTCGGGAGGCTCCAGGTTAAACAGCATCTCTGACACAGACACTCCCAGAGGCCGTCGGCACTTCAACTGCAGGTTGGGTACGGCAGCCAAACGAGCTGTCACAGTGGAAATCTGGTCACACATAAAAGGAGTCCTTCTCTTTGGGGACACGCTGAAATATTACCAGATGAGATGATCCGCTATCTGGGATTTACTCCAGAATGACATGGCAGGGGAGCAGTTTGGGGGCACATGTACGGCCACACTGGCCACAAGCACCGAGGGGAAGCTGAGGTACACCAGGGGCTGCAACGTGTCTGTGCCTACTTTGATGTGTTTGAAAATTTCCACATTTAGAAAATTAAAACATAAAATATTCAAAAATTAAATAAAATATCTGAACTCTGTTTCTTAGAAAAAGACAACTGCGTGCATACACCAGCAAGAAGCATTTGGAAAATGTAATATTCAGAATGGTACCACTTACAACAGCAGGAAAAAAAAGTTTTTACTTTGTTGAAATGAATTTAAGAAAAGATACGTAAGATCTTTATAGAGAAAGCTATACAACTTCATTGAAAAACATTAAAGAAAACCCCATAAATATAAAGACATGTGTCTGTTCACTGACTGGATGGCTCAGAATGATAAAGAAGTCACGTCTCCCCACGCGGACGCAGGGACGCCAGGCAAACCCAGTCAAAGCTCCAGGGTGCAACAGGTGATCCTAAACCTTATGGTCAACATCAAACCACCAAACATACCCGAGACACTTCTGTAGAAAAATGAGAAGGGCAATTTTTTCTAAAAAGTATTGAGAATTACAGTAAAGCTACAGAAATTAAGGTGGATTTTGGCACATGAAAAGCAAACTTGACCAGACAACCCAAATGAAAACTTTATCACAGAGCTGTCAGCAGGTCTGCAGAAGAAAGGCAATTCAACAGTCCACACAATTTATTCTTCAAACAGAGAAAAAACGACATCACATTTCCCCTCCACACTCATCCCACCTCAAACCATAAACAAAAATCAAAGGTCAATTAAAGTCTTAAATATGAAAAACAAATTGTTCAATCTTCAGAGGGAAGAAGTAAAAGATGGCAGCAATATCATCTTGTGATGGAAGTTACTAAACAGAAAAGTGCAAGTCCCGAAGGGAATGATGGATCAACTCCAGGCTGCCCTGGCTGAGAACTGCTTCCCAGCCGGCCTCCCAGTGAGAAGCCGGCCCGGCCTGGGTCGGGCTGTGTAAACCCACCTGATGAGGCTTTCCTCTCCAGAGCACAGGAGGGAAGCCTGCAAACCCAGAAGCACAAGGCAAACCCAAGAGAAAAGCAGACAAACAGTGCTCCCTGGCAGGAAGACCCACATGCCCAATAAACACGAAAAGGGGATCCATCCCATTCATTCTCAGAGAAACATCCATTCCAACCAGAGAGGACAAGCCACACCCACCAGGTTGGCAAGACGTCGCCGTCCGACACCCCGGAGTACTGACAAGGACATGGAGCAAACAGGGCTCTGGGTGGGGCCCGCGTTGGCTCAGCTGCAGGTGGCCCGGCCCAGGAATGCCACCCCACCGTGTGCCAGCAGAGGCCCTGGCCATGGGCACAGGCTGTGAGGGAGGACACGGGAGCCAGCCTCAGCATCCCTGAGACGCGGAACGTGCACAGATGCTGCGGTGTGCTCACAGAACCCAACATGATGCAGCACGAAATCGAAGGGGCCACAGCCATGCGAAACGTGGAGGCTCTCAGAACACGATGTGTAAAAGTAGCACAACACGGAGCCCCACAAATCGTCTGAGCCCAGGGAAGTTCAAAACCTGCACAGCTCAGCCACATACGGCTCAGGGATATGCACATACATAAGCAAAATTGTGAAGAACCAGCAAGATGCAGCACATACACAGTTCAGAGCAAGGACGAACGAGTCGCGAGGGTAAAGGAGCAGGGGCCTGGGGGTCAGGCTCACCACCTCCAAACCATGAGATCTGAACTTGTATTTACACCCCATGCACACGTGTGCACACGCGCACAGACGCGCAGTCTTGTGTCTACTCAGCGTCCCTCGGAACGCATTTTTAAACATAATATAGATCAAGCAGCTGACACCATGCCCTGCCTAAGGCCCGGCAGGCTCCCCTGGCCCATGGAAGGAAATTCCATCCACATTGGCCTCCCAGGACACCCTCATTCAGGTCTCCCGGGGCTGCCTCCTCCAGGGTCCCCCTCTACTTTCCACTAAGCACCCCCTCCCCGAGGGCCCTCCCTCGCCTCCTCAGCTCATGCAGCCCGCCCCTCTGGGCTGGCAGTCCCAGTCCCTGGGTCATTTCCTTCCTAGCACTCAAGAAAGAGGATCTCAGAACCATCCCAGTCAGAACACGGGCCCCCAAGGGCACAGGACTCACTTGTCTCTCTGCCTCCTGACCAACTCCTGGCACACAGCAGATGCTGGATCAATGGTCTAGGCGGGAAGGAGGAAAGGGAGGCAGAAGCGGGAGGAGACCAGGCCAGCCCAGCACTCCCAGTGGGCAGGAAGGATGAGGGCATCCTAGAGGACCTGGCCTGCGAGACACTAAGTGGTGATGGCAAGATGAGGAGGAGCACTTGGTGATGTCACCAATGGCCACGTGCACCCCGTCCTCCCTGCTGCCATCCTATCCCAACACACCCATCCTCCCTGCTGCCATCCTACCCCAACACACCCATCCTCCCTGCTGTCATCCTACCCCAGCACACCCCGTCCTCCCTGCTGTCATCCTATCCCAACACACCCATCCTCCCTGCTGCCATCCTATCCCAACACACCCGTCCTCCCTGCTGCCATCCTACCCCAACACACCCATCCTCCCTGCTGTCATCCTACCCCAGCGCACCCCGTCCTCCCTGCTGCCATCCTATCCCAACACACCCATCCTCCCTGCTGCCATCCTATCCCAACTATCCCAGCGCACCCCTGTCCTCCTGCTGCCATCTTATCCCCCAGCGCACCCCTGTCCTCCTGCTGCCATCCCAGTATCCCACCACACCCGTCCTCCTGCCGCCATCCTATCCCAACACACCTGGGCCCTCCCTGCCGCCATCCTATCCCAACACACCCGGCCTCCCTGCCGCCATCCTATCCCAACACACCCGTCCTCCCTGCCGCCATCCTATCCCAACACACCCGTCCTCCCTGCCTATCCTATCCCAACCCACCCGTCCTCCCTGCCGCCATCCTATCCCAACACACCTGTCCTCCTGCCTTCGCCATCCTATCCCAAATGGCACCCAAGTCCTCCTGCCGCCATCCTATCCCAAACACACCCGGTCCCTGCCGCCATCCTATCCCAACACACCCGTCTCCTCCCCTCGCCGCCATCCTATCCCAACACAATCTGGCCCCTCCTGCCATCTATCCCAACACACCCGTCTCCCTGCCGCCATCCTATCCCCAACACACCCGCCCCTCCCTGCCGGCCATATCCTATCCCAACACACTCCGTCTCCTTACACCATCCTATCCTAACACACTCCAAGTCCTGGCCACAACCATCCTGGAATACACCTCACCTCCTGGCCGCCATCCTTGGATTCCAACACGAATGTCTTCCTGCCGCCATCTGACCCAACACACCTGGCCCTTTTGCTGTTGAATCCATCTGAAGAGACACCCGCTCCTCCCTTGCTGCCATCCTATCCCAACGCACCCGTCCTCCCTGCTGCCATCCTATCCCAGCGCACCCGTCCTCCCTGCTGCCATCCTATCCCAACACACCCGTCCTCCCTGCTGCCATCCTATCCCAACGCACCCGTCCTCCCTGCTGCCATCCTATCCCAGCGCACCCGTCCTCCCTGCTGCCATCCTACCCCAACACACCCGTCCTCCCTGCTGCCATCCTATCCCAGCTCACCCCTGTCTGAAATACGCTCTGAAATACCTAGAAATAAACCCCAGCTCTGCCCTGCACCAGCTGCACGGCCCTGGGGTGAGGTTTATGAGCCCCAGGGGCCTCAGCTTCCTCCTCTGTATGGAGTGCAAAGTGCCGCCTGCTCCACACCGTCATTAGGAAGGCCAGGTGAGATCCTGCATCCCCTCAGCCATTCTCCAAACACCCTGAGCACCACCCACCAGCAGCTTGGTTCTCTGAGCGCCAGCTCCATGCCCAGCATGAACTGGGACACTCAGGTCTGCCCACACGCAGGACAGCCACTCCTGATGCTTCCTTTCCAGGGGCCTGAATCACCTGAGCTCAGCAGTCACACCCCATCTCAGGACACAGGCCACTTTCCTCAACAGAACAGAACTGGTGTATAGCCATCAGCATGACACAGTGGGGACCCTACCCACTGCCATTCCCTCCTCCCTGCCCCCACTGCCAGCTACTATCATTACCTAGGGGCTGACAGCCTTGTCTTGAAGGTCCCCCAAAAGGGCCACGGCTCCCCAGGCCACCTCCGCCAGCGATGGATCCATACGACATCTTCTTACAGATGGCAGGGCCAGCAGCCTCCACACTGAGCTGGAGGAAACAGGAAAACCAGGGGGAAGATGGGGAAGAGATGGGGATTAAAGCTCCAATTCAGGGTGCACAGGGGCCTCCTGACCCTCCCCAGCCCTAGGACCCTGGCTCCACTGTATTCATTCCCTAGGCTACTCCAGGCTTCTCACCAGCCCCCAAACAGCAACCCCCACAGAGCCCCTTCAAGGTGGCCTCTCGGTCCACAGGTCCCTGTAGGAACACAGAAACACAGCCTGAGGAAGGCGTGCCCCATGCCCTCCCAAAAGGGACCCCCAGCAAGGTGAGCCCTCCAGCCAGCTCTTAAAGACCAACCCCCACCGCCAGCATCCCAGCTGGCTTCTGGGAGCACTGGGCCCCGGCAGGGCCCCCGCCAAGCAGGCAGGACCCCCGCCATGCAGGCAGGACGGCATCCACTGCATGTGAGTCAGGCCCAGGCCAGGCTGAGAACCCGGCGCTCACACAGCCCGCCAGCATCTCCAGCTCCGTTGTCCTGAGCCGCACTCCACAGTAGCGGGGCTGGGTGTGGCCCGGGGTGGCTCTGCCCTGGCTGAGTGCAACCTGTGCAGCTGGGCAAGAGCCATGGGGCCTCTCTGGGCCTCGGTTTCCTCATCTGTGAAGTAAGGGGAAGAAGAGGACCTGCGTCTTAGGGCTGTTTTGACATGTAATCAGACACGCGTTACAGTTGGCGAACAGTAAGCACTAAACATGTAACTCACGGCATTGGTGACATCCTTGGGGCACCGGCTATCCCTGGCCTGGGGAGCTGGGCATCCTGCCCAAACCGCCCCTCCCATGGGCTGCAGCTCCAGGGACTCAGAGCAAACGACCAGAGGACAACGGGAGCTTTCCTGCCCAGACACTGCCAGAGCGTCCTCCCTGTGTACAGGGGTCCCTGTGCGGGCAGCTTCTGACTGGCCTAGACCCTAATGCTACCACTATGGAGCCCGCCAGCCAGGCCACACTCAGTTCTAAACACCTTAGGGCAAGGGCTCCATCCTCCCACACAAACACCTAGAGCGCGAAGGCAGGTTTCAGAGCAAAGTGAGCCTCACGCCAGCTAAGTACAGGCCCAAGTCCCTAGGGCTGGGGAAGGCGGTGTGACTGCCACGTTCCCTCCGAGCAAGATGCCTGCTTGTGCCATCCAGCCCCGCCCAGAGCAGTGCAGCACCAGGACACCATGGCCCCAGTGGGCCCCACGGCCCTGCTTAGAACAATCGGGACCCAAACAGCTCTGGTGGCTGCGGATCGCACCTACCAACACCCAACGCATTAGGAACTCAAACGCACCCTTCTGAAACCGTAGTAATTCATTTTAAATAACAAAGCTCTTACTGTGAACACAGAGAACATCTTTATTAAAAACCATTGCATTTTCCAAAACAAAACCCCTCAGGGACAGTGGTGCCGCCCTATAGGCGTGGCACCCTCCGGGCAGGCCCAGGAGGACTGCCACACTCACAGCTGCTGCTGGTGCAAGCTGCCGCTGCACCGAGCTCCGCCCGGGGCACATGCAGACGTCCAGCCCCACGCAGGGAGGCGGCAGGCAGAGCGGTGCTCAGCCCCTCTCTCCACGGGTCTCAGGCCTCGCATCCCAGGTACCTGCCCAGTCCCCTCTCTCCACACTGCCTGGAATGGGGAGGTGGTCGGGAAGCTGGGTCTCAGGGGAAGACAGGAGGCAGGAGATGTCTGCTGCCCCAGGGGAGGGTGGGTTCTGAGGGCGGGTGGGATTCCAGGAGCCCCAAGTGAGAGGCAGGTCTCAACCCAGCGAGCAGAGAGCTCCGCACACGGGTCGGGGCCTCATCGGGAAAAGCTCAGATGTGGAAGACAGCCCAAGACACACGGGGGAAACAGAGCATGGAGGAAACAGACACTATCCAGAGAGAAAACTTCAACACGGAACAGCGCGGCAGCTGGCACTTCCTTAACACTTTGCGCATGACGACAACCACAGAGGCGCTTTACTGCTCGCACAGATCCATCCGCACAACCCTGTACGCCGGGGCCACCACTACCTTTACCTTGCAGCTGAGGAAAGTGAGGCACGGAGAGGTGAGGTAACTCGCCCAAGGTCCCCCAGCTGGTAACGGGTGGAGAAGGCTTCAGACCCGGGCAGTCTGGTTCCAACGCCTGTGTTCTCTGTACTGCCCTCAAAGGAACGAGCCCAGATAACAAAGGCTGTGTTCACAGCCCCAGCACAGGAACGGGACGCCAAGAAAGGGACTTTCAGAGAACACAGAGGAGCACCGAGAAGTCAACACTGGGAGCAGCAGCGAAGCGCTCCAGAGAAGGGGCAGGCAGAGCGAGGGCCTCCAGAAACCGGAGCACGAAGACACGGGGAGTCCCTGCACCGGCACTTCTCCATCGGAGGAAGGGGAGCTTCAGAAAGAAGGACGGGAGAGCCAGGGGAAGAGAATCGTCAGGAACAGCATTCGCACTGATCCCAGCCGGAGCTCACTCAAGCTGGGTAGGGGCCCCTCACGCCCCAGGAGACCTCGGGAGACCTCGGGACACCCAGACAAGGAGACTGTCCACAGGCAACCAAGTCCCACATCCAGCACCAGAGGCCACGGTGACCGGGGAGATCTCCACAGCTCCAGTGCGGGGAGAACAAGTGTGAGGGCCATAGGAGGCCATTTCCAACGCCGGGGGTCCCCAGACCACCCCTCCACACATGCTTTCTCGGGGAGGTACTCGAGGGTGAGCTCTGCCAGAACCAGGAACCGTGAGGAGGGAAGAAAGCCTGGACCGCCTGCAACCAGAGGAAGCTAAAGGGGACCCAGGGCAAAAGCTGTGCCCAGGCAAGGAGGGCAGCCCGCTGACAGGGCCCCAGGAGAACGTTCTAGAGAGACTTCTTCAAGACAAAAGCCGAACTGCTAATGTGAAGGAACGTGAGACTGAGAGCTAGAGGAGGGCTTCAGGCTCCTAAGAAGTACAAAAAACACCAGGCAAACAAAGGCAGTTACAAACTCCAGGGAAAACCAAAGGTTGAGCAGAGAAGAAAATCATCCCGGTTTCCTATGACTGGGCTGATTCCAGCAGCACATGTGGTTCTAATTAGGAAAGCCCTGGTCTCCTTGAAAGTGTGACAGCACTGCAGCTACACCGGGAGGAGGGGAAGCAGGGAGTGTGTGCATACGTGTGCGCGTGCATACGTGTGTGCGTGCCCCCTGGGTGTGTGTGCATGCATGTGTGTGCCTGTGTGTACCTGTGAGACAGCAGGTACTTGTGTGTGCAGACAGACCTGAATCCTCATCTTGCAAGCTGATAATGCGTAAACCTTTAAAAAATCAACTAGCAATAGAGGTCTATTATTTAGAGATCAACATCAAAAGAATCTACTAGAAGAATCAGACATAGATGAGTTTGGGAAAGGGGATGGAGGGCGACTGGGGATGACTTTTTTTAATTAACTTTGTACAACTCATTTAACTCATTTACTCTCTAAACTACATGCACGTGTAATTTTAAAGTATTAAACCTTAATTTGTAAAATTCCAATAAAACATCATCTAGAAAGACCTGTCTGGAATCAAGGGGAGGGCTGTTCGGGGGGGTATGCCTTCAGCAGACAAGAGCCAGGTGAGCATCCAGGGCTCTCCTTAAATCCCTGGGAGGTGGCCCCAGAGCACCTAGCTTTGTCCCAGGTGGCCATACAGGCCACAGGGAGACACAGCCGATGCAGGGCATGGCCCAATCCTACAGATACACCCTTTGTGCCCCAGTGCCACCACACCAACAGAGCAGGCCTGTCCTGGCCTCAGGACATAAACTTCCATGGAGGAGCCAGCACAAGCCGTCTTGGGCGAGGGTTGCTGCAGAGGCTTTCAGAGAACTCGGGGAGGGGTGCTCAAACCCCAGGTGGGGAGGGTCCAGCAGTCCCAAGAAAGTGGCTCAAGGGGGTCCTCAGCACAGGGTACTACTTGCCATCATCTAAAATGATGGTGAGGCACTGAGGGGGGTCAGCCAGGCCTGACATGAGACTTGTGTTTGGGGAGTTCCCTCTGCTTCAGGATCGAGAGCAAGCTGCTGGGGGCACGTGAGGGGCTGGCAGGGCAGTGAGCAGGTGGCGGCAGGAACCAGGACCCGGGCAGGGAGGGAGGGTGGAGCTAGGGACTGGCACTGAACCCAGGGAGAGTCAAGGACAAGCCCCAAGTTCTGGCCCAGAAGGCATGCGGACAGTGCTTTGACTTCCTCGTGCCAGAAAGTGAGGGGCGCCGTGTGCAGGGATAAACGCAGAGGGGCTCCCACAGGCAGGCAGATACCCAAAGGCCTGGAGGTGGGGCTAGATGCAGAAGGGGAGTCCACTGTGTAGGGACAGTTGTAAGGAAGAGAACTCCCAGGGAGAGAAGCCACCGTGGAGAGAAGAGAGGGCCCCACAGACGACATAGGAGATGGGGACAAGTTGGGGGGATGTTAACCGGAGGTCACAAAAGCCACGGCGGGGGCTCCATGAGATTGCAAAGGGCAGCAGGGTCTGCTGAGTTTCAGGACAAGGAGGAGCAGCCAGCGGCCATCACTGCAAAGGGCAGCAGGGTCTGCTGAGTTTCAGGACAAGGGGGAGCAGCCAGCGGCCATCACTGCAAAGGGCAGCAGGGTCCGCTGAGTTTCAGGACAAGGGGGAGCACAGGAAGCTTGAGGAGGGCTCATGAGAGGTAGGAGCACTCACGGGAGGAGGGAAGGGATTCAAGTCTGAAAGAGCTCAGCTGAATCAGAGCTGGAGCCCCCAGTGGGCACTGGAAGGCTGCCCAACTCCCCTCTGCTCTGGCCAGGCATGCGGAGGGGAGTGAAGATTCGTGAGCTGCTCAGCCGCCACCAAAGAGACCATCTGACCAAATTCACAATTTCATTTCACTGCACACGGGAACATGAAACACCTGTGTGTCTGCTCAGCCAACTCAGAGACAAAGGCCAACCTGTGGGAGGGGCCACCGAGTCACCACAGGCAGAGGCAGCTGGTCTGGGAACACGTGTCTTCTGCCTACTAACGGCCCCGCCCAGCC